AGCAAATAAACAACAATGCAAACGGCTTGGAAATAGAATCGATGCTATTACTTCGGTCTTACAATCGATAAATTATCAAAATTTGCAAAGAGGAGAGCTTCTAAAATTGTTGAATAACTATCGTACTTGCTTAGAAGAATGTCTGAATTTCGTTATTCAGTTCAAAGACAAAACATCATGGTTTATAAAGATTTTTAACAGTCAAAATTATAAAGAAAAATTCGAAGAATTGAATCTTCATCTTACTCGATGTGCTACTGATCTCAATTTAGGAATTAATTTGAAACAAATTTTTGATCCAAAACAAGATGAAAAAGATCAAAAGATGGATCTAGATGCAATTCAATCCGAAGCTGATGAAATCGCATCGATGATGGTACAAAAACAAGATGAAGATCTTCCTCAATACAAACGCATTGAAGAAAATACAAACCAACGACGTCTGTCATTTAGGCATAATCTTCAGAAGAACATTATCAAAATTAGTGACCCTGTTCAAGGGCATAAAATCAAAGAAGAAGAGCATGCTTTTCTCCATATTCCATATTACGATTTGATACTAGAAAAACGTCTTGGACAGGGTGAAGTTACTGATGTGTTTCATGGAAGATGGATTTCTCGTGATCATGAAGTAGCTATTAAAGTTATTCGAATTCAATATTTAAATGAGAAAGTTAAAAGAGAACTTGTTAATGAAATTTCAATGATGTATCATATTCGCTATGAACATATTCTCAATATATTTGGTGCCTGTATGGAACCGAACAAATATGCACTTATTGTTGAATACATGTCTCTTGGTTCTCTCTATGATGTTCTAAAACAAAAAAAAATACAGTTAACATGGCCTGATCGATGGTCAATTGCTAATCAGATGATCAAAGGTATAAATTATTTGCATAAACTTTCAAGACCAATTATTCATCGTGATATAAAATCACACAATATTCTCATGACAAACAATAGTAATGGTTTTCTCGTGAAAGTTGCTGATTTCGGTCTGGCTAAAATAAAACAGGAGACATCGCGTCGATCGCCTTACGATTCTTCGGTCGGTACTTTACAATGGAAAGCTCCCGAATTACTAAAAATGGAAGAGCATACAGAAGCTAGTGATGTATATGCCCTTGGTATTGTGCTCTGGGAACTAGCCACTGAATGTGAACCATACGAGAAGATTGATGATTCAAAAATCAGAGCATCGGTTCTACGTGGATACCGGCTGAAAATTCCTCCAAATGTTCCCACTTCTTTCCGAGAACTTATTTTGAAAGCTTGGGCACATGAGTCTGCAACGAGACCAACCTGTCAACAGCTTCTCACTCTAATGAAAGATACCTCTTCTGAACTCGATACCGCTATAATTGAAAAAGTAAGGAATCGAAGTATCTGACATTCTTTCTCGTTAGTTTTACTTGTAATTGAAGAAAAACATATTTCTATAAGACATTTTGAATATTTCATACCGTTGAATTAGATTTTATTTACGATGGATCCCAAAATAATCTAGATATCTGATGAAAATTAGACTGTATGGAACAACATCAACAATATTTTCTAGATCAGACCCATTGGTTCCATATTAGGTTTTTGAAAAAAAAACTATCCTTAATATCTTATACTGAAGTATTGAAATATATCTTATGTTTTTCTAGGCAATAGGTACTTCTGTTCCGAAGCTAATTGATATTATTGTAACTACTGCTGAACGAGCAGCTGAAGGAACTACAAGCCAAGCAGCATCACTACATCCATCCAAGAAAGAGTACATATTATAATTCTCTGCTGACGGTAATGAAAACGTTTGCCTGTTAATTTTAGTGCTACAAAAACGCATGGAACAAGAAATGTAACAGGTAAGAATTTAATGCACTGTTGTTGACTCAACTTTTTTTCTAATGATTTTATTATTGTAGGTACACATGAGTTTTTATGTTTTTCGCTTATGGAAAAGTCAGATAGACAAAGAGCTTCCATGATCATCCAATGTTTCACTTTAAACTAATTAGATGTTTTTTATTGTTGAGTATCACTGCATTTTTAATTGATCAGTTATCTCACGTAATCATAATGCCTTTCTTCTGATTTTCATATGAATTGGTTTTGGTATGGTGTGGTTGTATGGTCGAACAACGACCTTTCCTTGATATTGTGCCATTTTCTTGATATCTATGTAAAGGAAACTTTCCGATGTGATTGAAAAATTTGAAATTCAGGTTCGAATTCTTTAATATTATACATGTTTGTTTGTATAATGTTCTAGATTCTCTTGTTTTCTTTCTGTTGTTCGAGGTCGAAAATCATTACTCTAGTCGCATGAAATATTTTCCAAATTCAGAAACCTAGACGTACAAAATCGAACATCTCTTTATTTACTACAAGGGATATACCAAATCATTTTGAACAATTTTTAAAATTCATTATTCTAGTATTGAACAAAAGCAAACCCTTTTTAAATTTGATAAATTTCTGTATTACTGTCGCATTAAACAGCTACAAAATTTAAGGCCTCTTCCTTTGATTACGAAAAACACTATAAGAAAACAAAGCAATGCACTAATCTTACAATAATTTAATCATCAGTTAGTAATTGAAAAGGTTTCGTTTTTTTACTTTCGAAGTTTAAAGCGTTGAAAAATTCACATTCGTCCTTGAGAGGAAAGAAAGTTGCAAAATTTTATTTAGCATCACAGCTCGCTTGCCTTTAAAATGGCGTATAATCAATATATAATAAACATAAAGATCTGAATGTTCAACGTATTTTTATGACAAAACGGTTTCAAAAGAAATGAAATTACAAACGAATCTAAGTTCTGAAAATAAAATCATTCCTGAGACATAAATCTTAGTGGTTCAAATGTATTCATTTCATAGAACGACCAGGATATTGCCGAAATTCTACTAAATCAATTTTTCGTATATGTGAGAACATAAATTTTCGAAAAAACATATTATGGTTTAGTATTTCTTGGAAGAAAATGATTTTTTTAGCTATTGAAAGCTTTTATTGATGAATTTTGTACCCTTTCAGAACATGCAATGCTAAACAAAGGATATGCACCACACATTGCATTCCATCAAATCTATTTTCATTTAAAAATCTGAATTAGATAATTGTGTTATGAAACTGTCCGATATTTGACGTACAGAAAATATTTGGTGTTTAGCAAAAGACATGTTATTAAGACGACAACAAGAGACTAATTAACGGGTGAAAAAAATTTAGTGCTTTTTTTATACTAACAAATAATAGATAAAGACCAAATTTTCCTCGACTGAAATTAATCATAGTTTGACTTTGATTAAACAATATTAATCGAGAAGATACAAAAAAAATTAACGAAAACAGAATTGTTCTTCAATAGTCTCAGTCCCAGTAAAAACTATTGATCTCAACTTATTTTATGATTTAGTACGATTTCAGAAAGATGATCCATCACGGCTACACAGATTTTTTCTTTTTGTTAAATGTATGAATGGTGAAATTTGAACTTAATTCATAACTTCTGAGATGTTTTTGTGCGTATCTTCATTGATAATCGCTAGCAAAAAACCTTAGAGTGCTCCAATATTTATAAAGAAATGTTTCAATCTCTTTCTCGTCCCTCATAAAATCTTACATATTAGAAACAACTGGAAAGAAAGAATATAACGATTCACCTACTATTCCTGTTCTTACATGTTCATTTCGACTTAGAAAAAATCTGTTTTTCTGCACTGTAAAAAAAGGTAATTTACCGAACCCTCCAAAAAGGTTTCGTAGGTTTCTAAAAGCTTCCAAATGCGTCCAAATGCTTAAAAAAATGGTTGTTAAAATCTACGAAACCTTAAAAGGATCTGTCCGCGGATACACCGTTCGAACCATCTCGTACGAAACCTATTTTAAGTTTCGTACAGCGAAAAAAGGTTTCGTAAGAACATGCGAAACCTTCATAGTTTCGTATAAAACTATAGTGCGAAACCATAGGGTTTACTAGGAAACTATGAAGGTTTCGCATTTTCTTACGAAACCTTTTTTCGCTGTACGGAACTTAAAATAGGTTTCGTAGGAGATGATTCGAACGGTGTACCCGCGGACAGATCCTTTTAAGGTTTCGTAGATTTTAACAACCATTTTTTAAGCATTTGGACGCATTTGGAAGCTTTTAGACACCTACGAAACCTCTTTGGAGGGTTCGGTAAATTACCTTTTTTTACAGTGTGCGCTTGACATAAATGAACTTAAGTAATGTTGTTCATTGACTTAAAGAGGAATAAACTGTTTCTGCTACACAATACATTAATTTTCTTGTTGAAAGGCAGATATTGTCAAACTCTCGTTGATCATTGAGATTAAAAGTTTATCAATTTCCTCAATAAATGCTAATGCTGTGATTAAAAAAAACTAAAAAATGACACCAATCTAATGCAATCAGATGTTAGGTTTTCACCGGAATTAAAAAATTTTGTATCGAAATGGCCAGTGAAGAAAGTTCTGAAGCATATACTGAAATAAAAAAATTTTGCAATGTTATGAAATTTTTGTAAATGAGGACTCAAGAGAATATTTATGAAAAACATTTATTACCGTAAATATTCATTGATAGATTTCAATATCATGTGACCTAGTAGACCTCTTAAAGTCAAATGTACTTAGCTAAATCCGATAATTGACGCTTGATTGAAGATATGCTATTTAACAAATCACTTTTGTAGAAAACAATAGGAAGGTTATTTGTGCTTTGAAAAGAAAAAGATACATAAAGTGAACTTGAATTCTTTTTGTTGAAACACATCAGTATTAAGTCCATGTCACGATGAGCCAAATTTGTTAAGAAAATTTGTTTAATTCCTAAATAAACATGTTAAAACGCATATGGAATATGAAATGAAAAAAATCGTAAAAGCCCCACATTTTAACACTTTATGAGCGTACTGAACAATTCGACATCGTAAAAACTCTTTTCAGAATTACAACGCACACGTAACGCGTTAAAATGTGCCGGTTCAATGAATAGTAACGGGTTTATTTTTGGCTTGTTATTACGCGTTTTTCTTCTGCTGAGTTTGTCTGACTGAGTAATCGAATGAACGAAGAAAACAATAAGAGGTTTTTCGGGCAAGCTTCGAATATTTGATTCTCTATTATTTTCATGATAGGAAATGTCGATAAAGGAGAGCAATTTTTGAAAAAAAAATTAATCATTGGTTTCGATTGAATCGAAGGGGAATGTTTCAACTCGTCACGTTTTTTCTTGTCTGGCTTTCGTAACGAATTGACAATACGAAAGCCCGTGACAGAGCTTTCGTAACGAAAAACATGTAATTTCTGCAAACTAAGTCCAGCTATCACCCTCATCCTCATTACGAAGTCTCTGTTGCTTCGTTGCGAAAGCTCTGCAACGGTTACAAACTCCCTGTATTAATTGCTACGATCGCCCTGTAAATTTCGTTACGACATCCCTGTATTTTTGGATATTCCTATTTTTGGTGTTACGAAAGGTCTGATTTTTGCTGTTTGTTCAACTCGTCACGTGACGAGTTGAAACGTTCTCAATCGAAGTTGGTCAACTGTTGATACGAAAGGGTTTGAAAATAATTATGATTCAAGTGAAGGATGAGTTCCGTTTAGTACAACTCCGTAGTTACATTTACCAGATCGCATGCATATAAATGTATGAAAATGCATTACGTTACTTAAAAAAAAACTGAGCAGTGAATACTTAATAGATACTAAACCAGAAACAGTAAAAATGCCTAAAGCAAATACAGAAGCTAAGTGTTTTAACATGTTCATTTCATCTTTAATGCGTCAATACAGGTTCACAATTTGTACAAATATTTTCTTTACGATAAAATCTTGTTTTAAAGGACTTTTCATGAAATTTGAACATGCTTCCTTTGAAAAATCTTGCCTGGCTTGATTACAAGACTAAGAAATGATGACTCTTGAAAACTTACGACAAAAATTGTATTCTGTATCAAAGATGAGTAATTCTTATGAAAAATATCTAGGATATTTCAGGCAAAATATTCTCTTGAGAGGATGAAAATTACCTTAACCAGTTATAAAACTAGGAGTAACGTGGAATAATGATTTTATGTAAAATTTGATCGAAGCATTTTGACACCGAGTACTGTGAATCTGTCATTGGCTGTTCAAAATTCATTGTGTTAACATTCTGGAGAAATATAGAGCATTTCAAGAAACTAACAAATTTTCAAAATTAAAGATGAAATTAATGAACTTTCAAATGCGTCTTACAGAATTGAAATCTTTGACTTATAAGACTACTACTAGAATTTTTCAATAAATCATTGTTCTTCTGAAAAAACCTCGCTCTCATCATGAAACAAGCTTGATCAATTTTAAGGAAGTGATTATAGATTCGGTTTCCTCCACTATGGAAACTATTCTCCAAATTGTATACTCTATTACTAATTGTCTGAAGCATGCTCACATAATGAATATTTTGATTTCTACACCTCGCAAATCTTCGGATAAACTTCGGGAAAAGATCATTTCTTCGGACAATAGCACGGCGATTAGAAAATTCGAACAAGAATTTTTCTGTTACCCATTACATGGTGCTGGGAGAGTAACTTCTTTGTCTAAGTTCTGACGGATCTTGTTAGGATTATCGTCATGAAGAGCTTTAAATCTTCTTATGGGTGTAATACGAAGATATCCAAAAGAACTCGCGACAACTTAATAATATTTTATGAGAAACTTGACATCAATACGTGCTAAAATCTTGAATCGGGTTGAACATGAGTTTAGGTGAGTTCTCAGACAATTTATTTGGAAAGAATATCCTTCTTAAAATTCAAAGAATTCCATAGAAAAGCATCTTGACAGATCATCCATAAATTCTCATATTTTTCATTTAATATCCGAATTTCGATAAGTATTCGTCACACAAATACTTATTTCAAACAAAAGCTTTTCAAACCCTTTGGGCAGTATCTTTAAGCCCCCCCCAACTCAAAAATCGATCTCAGCCCAGGTACGTTCAAATGGGCTGAAATTTGGAGCATATATTGGGGCTGATGTGGGGAGGCTGTTGTAAAATTTTCAGCTCGATACCCTGATGTTTGACAGAGATATGAACCAAACGAGGGTCAAAAGTAGCTCATTTGGCAATCTATTTTCCTCTGTCAAAGCTCATTCAATATATTTAAATTTTTTTTGTTTGAAAGAGCATCTCAAGATGCAGTGCAGTACAGAGTCCTTTTTTTAAAATTATTACCTTTTAAGCGGAGAAAAGGGCTGACAGGTTCAATGACTCAAAAAACTCCCTAAAAATGGTGGTCTGTTTATATAAGTGTTTGTATATATAATAAAAAACAAGCTTAATTTAAAAAAAGGACTCTGTACTGCACTACATCTTGACGTGCTCTTTCAAACAAAAAAAAAAATATTAATACATTGGACGAACTATGAAAGAGAAATTTGGGATGCGCGTACGAGAAAGCGAAAAATGAGAAAACACGAAAAAGATTTTTGGATATTTCAAAAAACCGCTGGTTTTTCAAAAACTGGTTCTCTGGAATTTTGAAATATTTCTAGAAAAAATGAAGGTTTTTGGAAAAATTTTTATTGATTTTGAAAGAGCAGACGACGGACTATTTTCCTATGTATTTATCTCAATTTTGACAGTTCTCACGAAAATTGACTTTTTGTGAGAGGTGTCAAAATTGAGAGGGGGCTTAAGAATTAGCACAATAAGAAAGAGCGATTTTCATAAAAAATATACTTTAGATTTCAAAATACACCTCATTGGAACTTTTCAAAGACTTGTTAGTTAAAAATTTGTTACGGATTTTATTTGTCTGATTATCGACAGGTCTGGTAAAGGACTTGTTTAATCTTTGAGAGAATTTCGACTGCTGGTCTGAAATCTTTGGTTCAAAAAAAATCTCTCAGAAAACTTGAACATCTCTCAAAGACTTTGATCAACTATGACACAGTTTCGTCTTAAATGAAATTAAATACAATTTGACGTATGAGATCTAGCTAGATTGTTGCATGTAATGTTAAACGATGGACTGTATGAAAACCTTATTGTTAATACTGAATCTTTTGTCCGGTGAAAAAGAATATTTTAAAACCCTTTTGAAAATAGTTTCAAACGTTAAACAAGGTTCTTTCGAAGGAAAAGTGTCTTAATTTGTAATAAAAATGTCATGATCGTGAGCACATGATCTCTTCGAAAATGACAATGACTTTGCTCATATTTGTTCGTTTATTTATAGTTATTCCGAATATTCCAATGAATCAAAAATGGGCTCAGGATGGCGTAGCCGTTGCTGGAGGTCATGACTTTGGCGCAGCCACCAATCAGCTGAAGTATCCTTATGGTCTGTTTGTTGATAATGATGAAGCAATGGTCATTGCTGACTCCAATAATCATCGTATCATCCAATGGAAAATCGGTGATACGAATGGACAGATCGTTGCTGGTGGTAATGGGCATGGAAATCGATTAAATCAATTAAATCGACCAATTGATGTGGTAATCGACAAAGAGACGAATAGTCTCATTATTAATGATCGAGGAAATTTTCGCATATTACGATGGTCTCG